CCGTAAGTACACATATTGCTTTTACCTTTGCTCGAATCCACTTTTAAGAAATGCACCGTTCGCATGTGCGCACCTCTCAATGCTTCGTTCTTTTATTCCGGAATGCTCCCAACTCTCTCAGCTCTAGTTTCTCTAGACCCTTGCAAATGAGATACAACACCAAACCACATGCTCTCACAAAAGTGCTGACCTGAAGCACTGTAGAAGCTACTCTAGCCTTTACAATGCAGCACAAAATAGTTGAAGCCAGGTATATCTAGTTTTTAGACTGCGTTTTAACGAAAGCTCTGCCGAAACAAATCTGCCACCTGGCAGTGCAAAAGAACCTCGCGTGCCTAACCTGGAGAAGGGCTTTTATTTTTTTGCATAGGCCAATTTTTTCTTAAACCAATACCTTTTGCCTCCTCGAAATGTTAACATCATGTGACACACGAAAGTTCTGTAAACCCTTTAATCTTGGCGAGCCCTTAATTTTCGCGGCCTTTAGTTTTGCGAAATTTTGTTGCCGCGATTATGTCCTCTGTGACCGATTTGAGAAGAAATAGGGGCCACAACGATGAGGGGTTTGCTGTTCATTGGAGAAAAGAGCAGGTCACTTTTGTTCGTATGCAAGAGTAAAACCAACAACAACAATCACGGTGTCGTCCCTTTGTGAGCCTATCTGTGTCTATTGAAATATATGAATTTTATCCTGGTTCGTTAAACGTTGTAGCCTGTACGTTGTGGGATGTCGTCTTCAACACAAACGGTGGTTTTCCTCTGAAGCAGGCAGCGTGGACTCGTGCCGCAGCACAACAGAGTTCGTTTGCAGGTTGTACCGCAGTTTAAAGGTCGCACAATATGGGGGAATTGCGATTCAGTGGTCTGCCTCGGGCGTAGACAAGATTTGCTCATTCTAAAAAAATTCGGCTAGAAATCAGGGATTTGCGATGACTGTACCCACATGGTTGAAAGGGATAGACAAGCCTTGCGAGCGCTTTGTTTCCTAGCCTCTCAGTCCTGAACCCCCTCAAGCATCAATCTGTAGATGTTCCGATAGGCGGGAACACTTATTTGGAAAATGGTGGATGGCAATACGCATAGACTGTTGTTATCCTTGTCAGAATTTTGTATTATGGCCAAAGGTGGACTGCATATTTCCAATACATTTACTCACTTAAATATATGTCATAGTAAAAATGTGGAGTATAGACCTTTTCCGCGTACCCTCAACCCAGCGCGCCCGCACCCTCGACCCAGACACCATTCAGATTATCACGGGCGCACAGTGTTTGCAACAGCGGAGGGTATGGGCGAGTAGGCCTAGTGGGTGTATTTACCTGTGTATCACGGTACGTTTAGAAGTTGCAATGTCGGGAGTGAGTTGATTCTGAAGGTTTATTCTGTGCCAAATCAACATGTCGGAGAATCTACGGTCGTCCGGATACCACTGCGTTGTCTTCGGGTGTTCTAACAATTTCACGAAGCGAAAACAGAATCGCGGAAAGTGGTGCGACGAGCACGAGAAGCTGCAGCGCGAGTGCGGATGCAATGTATTTGTACTTCACGCGTTCCCGACTGAACCCGATCTGCGACGCAAGTGGACTGCGAGCATCAATCGCGAGGGCTTTGTGCCAAACTCGTCATCTAGAGTGTGCTCGGACCACTTCATCGACGGCAAGCGAACAGAATGCAACCCAGTGCCCAAGCTTCGGTTAGGTTACCACCGCAAGGTATGTCATCGTTTTATAGCATGTGCTATTCTTTTAAATGTATTCTGAGCGTCTCTGCTTGTGAGGGGCAATCATTTCAACAGCAGATTGAGAGGTCATTGTTAATTTGTGGTTGAGGTGACCACCGGCGGGTGAGGCGAGCGTAGGGGGACAAGCGGGAGCGACGGCCGAGGCGACCGCTGGCATTAGTTTTCGCCTTCCCCTGATTGCTAGCCTGGCTCGCAGAAACCGAACCCTTAGTGGTTCCGACGAGGCTTGCCTCACGCTCGAGCCTGAGATTTTATTTAATTTCTTCTGTGAGAAGCAAAGCCAGGGCAGACCATCTGTTTGGGAGCGTGGCTTGTCGGTATGATCCACGGGCCACGAGCGCAGCACCGCTTACGGCTGGCTTCCCATTCTCTGCGGCGATTGCTTCGCCGTCCCACCCAGCTTTGCACTCTAGAAGATGTTGCTAGCCGTACTACAGTCCAGCGACATGAGTAACCACCAAATCAAAATCACCCAGCAAAAAAAAAAAAGTGTCGGCGAAACGTGTCTACTGCGTGCGGTTCGTCCAACGAGTTTCACTGAAACGTCAAAACGTTGACGAAATTAACATGCGACGATGAAGCGTGTCTCTGTGAAGCTATGCGAACTCCCTAATCATATTTTTTGTCACATAATCTGATTCGTCTTTATTCACGCCGGTGAAATTTTCTGCAGGTTCTCGTAGGACGAAGGCGGCTTGACAGAGTCTATGTGCCACCGCTCAAGATGCAGGTACCAGTTGTGAAGAGCGGCAAACACCACCAGGCGGTGCTCCATTCTTTTGACGTCCCAGAGAACTTCCGGTTCATAAAAAGAATGAACAAAGCCCACCTTAATACCGCTGCTTGAAATGTAGATGAAACGTTTAACCACCAATTCTCCATGTGAACGCCAAGAGAACGCAGAAGCGCGAGATGTGTTGAACGTTTTCGAATATTCTTGTAAACCAAATTCTCTTGTTTAAGACGTTAGATTGTCCAGCCGAGAGCCCTCATTAAATCTCCAAGTTTGATGTACGTGTAGCATTTGTGCTTTCTAGCACTGGTGACATAAGCAGGCTCGACAGGCTCGCGAGCACGGAACGACCGGAAGTCGCTTGGGACGCAGGAGGCAGCTCATGTTTGTAAACAGCAAAAGGGTCTATACAGGCTTCATTAAAGTCTCTTCTTTCATTGTAGAAACTCAACCAAAACGCCCCACAGCTTTCGTCCTCATGCTTTCAAGGAGGCAAGGTAAGTTGCATAGACATATTCTGAACAAACACAATGTAGTCAAGTTCTTACTTTGGTTGGCATCCTTCTAGGGCAATTTATTTAAACAGTTCGAATTATTTCTGTCCCGAGTATAAACATTCAAAAGTGCTAAATTACATTCAAAATTGTTGTTACACTGTGTTAGAAACCCCTGGCAAGCATCGCTACATATGTTGGGTCTCAGTCATCAACTGCTTTGAGAACTACCTGGCTATCCAGCACGGTAAGCCGACATTTGCACTTGCCTCTCAGTTTGCTCTGTATTGGTTGTGCAGTGTTATTGACTGTTCACTTTTCTCTCGGCGCAGCAATCCCTGGCTCGTAGTGCCTCCACAAACATTGGGCCTCAGTCGCCTACAGTCACGATTGGGGGCAAAACTGGTAGGCTTCCCAGCATGGTAAGGAAACAGTTGCACTTGTCTGTCGGCTCCCTTTGTGTGGTGCACTGTTGGTGACTGTTTGTTTTTCTCAATGCACATCAGTCCCCAGCACGAAGCCCTTGCGCAACAACTGCTAGGACACAGACGCCAACAGTTGCGCTCACTCAGCTACGCAGAATGGTAAGCAGACTTTTGCATTTGCCTCTCAGCTTGTCCTGCATAGTGCGGTATCAATGACTTCGCTTCTTGACACAACAGTCCCCAGCAAGCACTGCTGCTGCAAATGGGCCACGGACGCCAACAGTCACGGTGGGGGGAAGAACCCCTACGCTATCCAGCACAGTAAGCAGACAGTCGCAATTACTTCTCAGCTCGCCCTGTGTTGCCCAGTGTCTGCGACTGTCCATATCTCCCTCAAAACAGCAGTCCTTGGCATGCACTCCTGCCACAGACAAGCTTCACTCACCAACATTTATGACTGGAGGGGGAGTGTCCAGCACGGTAAACAGACAGTTGCAATTGCTTGCCGGCATGCGCTGCGCTGTCCAGTGTTAATGGCTCTGCTTTTCTTTTGCCACGGCAGCCTACGGAATGCACCCCTGCCCGAAACGGTGGGCCTCAAGTGACAACATTCACGATTGTGGGGGGAACTGGTAGGGTACCCGGCACGGTAAGGCAACAGTTGCGCTCATTTCTCGGCTCCCTTTGTGTGGTGCACTGTTGATGACTGTTCATTCTTCTCAATGCACATCAGTCCCCAGCACGAAGCCCCTGTGCAACAACTGCTAGGACACAGACGCCAACAGTTGCGCTCACTCAGCTACGCAGAATGGTAAGCAGACTTTTGCATTTGCCTCTCAGCTTGTCCTGTATAGTGCGGTATTAATGACTTCGCTTCTTGACACAACAGTCCCCAGCAAGCACTGCTGCTGCAAATGGGCCACGGACGCCAACAGTCACGGTGGGGGGAAGAACCCCTACGCTATCCAGCACAGTAAGCCGACAGTCGCAATTACTTCTCAGCTCGCCCTGTGTTGCCCAGTGTCTGCGACTGTCCATATCTCCCTCAAAACAGCAGTCCTTGGCATGCACTCCTGCCACAGACAAGCTTCACTCACCAACATTTATGACTGGAGGGGGAGTGTCCAGCACGGTAAACAGACAGTTGCAATTGCTTGCCGGCATGCGCTGCGCTGTCCAGTGTTAATGGCTCTGCTTTTCTTTTGCCACGGCAGCCTACGGAATGCACCCCTGCCCCAAACGGTGGGCCTCAAGTGACAACATTCACGATTGTGGGGGGAACTGGTAGGGTACCCGGCACGGTAAGGCAACAGTTGCGCTCATTTCTCGGCTCCCTTTGTGTGGTGCACTGTTGATGACTGTTCATTCTTCTCAATGCACATCAGTCCCCAGCACGAAGCCCCTGTGCAACAATTGCTAGGCCACAGACGCCAACAGTTGCGCTCACTCAGCTACGCAGAATGGTAAGCAGACTTTTGCATTTGCCTCTCAGCTTGTCCTGTATAGTGCGGTATCAATGACTTCGCTTCTTGACACAACAGTCCCCAGCAAGCACTGCTGCTGCAAATGGGCCACGGACGACAACAGTCACGGTGGGGGGAAGAACACCTACGCTATCCAGCACAGTAAGCAGACAGTCGCAATTACTTCTCAGCTCGCCCTGTGTTGCCCAGTGTCTGCGACTGTCCATATCTCCCTCAAAACAGCAGTCCTTGGCATGCACTCCTGCCACAGACAAGCTTCACTCACCAACATTTATGACTGGAGGGGGAGTGTCCAGCACGGTAAACAGACAGTTGCAATTGCTTGCCGGCATGCGCTGCGCTGTCCAGTGTTAATGGCTCTGCTTTTCTTTTGCCACGGCAGCCTACGGAATGCACCCCTGCCCCAAACGGTGGGCCTCAAGTGACAACATTCACGATTGTGGGGGGAACTGGTAGGGTACCCGGCACGGTAAGGCAACAGTTGCGCTCATTTCTCGGCTCCCTTTGTGTGGTGCACTGTTGATGACTGTTCATTCTTCTCAATGCACATCAGTCCCCAGCACGAAGTCCCTGTGCAACAACTGCTAGGACACAGACGCCAACAGTTGCGCTCACTCAGCTACGCAGAATGGTAAGCAGACTTTTGCATTTGCCTCTCAGCTTGTCCTGCATAGTGCGGTATCAATGACTTCGCTTCTTGACACAACAGTCCCCAGCAAGCACTGCTGCTGCAAATGGGCCACGGACGCCAACAGTCACGGTGGGGGGAAGAACCCCTACGCTATCCAGCACAGTAAGCAGACAGTCGCAATTACTTCTCAGCTCGCCCTGTGTTGCCCAGTGTCTGCGACTGTCCATATCTCCCTCAAAACAGCAGTCCTTGGCATGCACTCCTGCCACAGACAAGCTTCACTCACCAACATTTATGACTGGAGGGGGAGTGTCCAGCACGGTAAACAGACAGTTGCAATTGCTTGCCGGCATGCGCTGCGCTGTCCAGTGTTAATGGCTCTGCTTTTCTTTTGCCACGGCAGCCTACGGAATGCACCCCTGCCCCAAACGGTGGGCCACAAGTGACAACATTCACGATTGTGGAGGGAACTGGTAGGGTACCCAGCACGGTAAGAAGACAGTTGTGCTGACTTGTCGGCTCCCAATATGCCGTCCAGTGTTGATAAATGTTCACTTTTCTTTCTGCACATCAGTTCCCGGTACGCACTCCTGCCACAGGGGTTGGACCTCAATCGACCGTATCTATGATTATGGGGGGAAATCGTAGCCCAGGCAAAAATTTTCAACTGGGACCAATTGGTCCCAGTTGCAACTGGTTTATGGAACAATTCCCAGTTGCAGCTGGTCCCAGTTGGAGCTGTCCAACTGGTCCCAGTTGGAGTTGGTCCCAGTTACCGCTGGTACCAACTTCAGCAACAATGAAACACGGCACAAAATGGAAGGTTGATAAGACTTTATTGTCAAAAACTTGAAGAATGAAACTAAATAATAGATTCGGTGATGTACACGCTCCGAGTTTAGCCACTTGCTTGCGACGGTTGAATCGCTTTTTCAGAAGTAGTATTCGTGAGATGAAGGAAGATCAGGCGCTGGCGTCTGTTAGTGAAGACGTCCTCAGCTTCTCTCCCCATCGCATAAAGAAAGGTGCTCACCCGTGATCCCGCGTTGCGCAGGTGAAGTCCTGATAGGATGCGGTAGCGCTCCCACCTTGCAATCTCTGTCACAACAGTCGTACATTTTCGAGGTAGACCTCCCGCCATTTTTGCCATTGTGCTCTCCGCGGCGTTTTCTTCCGTCCGGTCTTTCCTGGGTGCCCTCCGATCGCTGAACTGCATCTTTCCATCCCCGAAGTTCACTGCCGCAACCATGGTGTGTGTGCAGTTAGGTCCAAAGAAGCGCAGCTGTAGTTTTGACATTTTCATAACGACGCCAACTTCGGCGATGGCGACCCTTCTCTACCGCGTCCGTCCGACTCCGGCGTCATGCGGCGTCAGCATAGGCAGCGCTATCTGTCGACAGCGCGTACCATTAATCCGCACCTGCGTGCCACGGTGGCTGGCTAGCTCTGATTGGCCAAAAGATAAATTTATTTATTAAAAGTAAAAAGAAAACAAATACTGTAGGTGTTTAAATAAATGTTTTAATATATTTTAATGATGCACTAAATGTTCATTTAGGTGAACACATTTTGTCACTAATTATATTTTCTAATTAAAAAAAATATTCTATTAATTAAAACTTTTATATTATTTTTATAAATATAGAAATGTACCCCAGTAATTAAAAATTTCCCTATTTGTATAAATTTAAAAATGTAACTGTTTTTAGTTTTCTTAATTAGCAAAGGTCAATACACCCCCAACTTGTCAAAATTGTTGCCCCGTGTGAACTGGGAACGGGAAAGGCATTTGAAGTCCGACTGGGAATCGCTCCAACCAGTTACGTTCCTAACTGGTCTGAGTTCACTCCATTCCCAACTGGAAGTCAAACCAGTTGACTCCCAACTGGGAATGGTGCAAACCAGTTGACCCCTCAGCTGGTCCCAGTTGGACTCCTATTGGTCCCAGTTGCTTCCCAGTTGGTACCAGTTAGTCCCAGTTGAAACCAGTTGAGGTGCCAACTGGTCCCAGTTAGAAATTTTCGCCTGGGAGGCTACCCAGCACAGTAAGGAAACAGTTGCGCTGACTTATTGGCTCCCTCTGCATTGTTCGGTGTTGATGACTCTGCTTTTCTCCCTGCCCAGCAGTCCCCAGCAGGCCCTTCTGCAACAAGCATCGGGCAACATACACCACCTGTTGCAGGAGTCGCTCCGCTACCCAAAGTAGTAGGCAGACTTTTGCACTTGCCTCTCAGCTTGTTCTGTACAGTGCGGTATCAATGACTTTGCTTCTTTCTTGACACAACAGTCCCCAGCAAGCACTGCTGCTGCAAATGGGCCACGGACGCCAACAGTTGCGGTGGAGTCCACGCTATCCAGCACAGTAAGCAGACAGTCGCGGTTGCTTGTCGATTCACCCTGTGTTGTCCAGTGTCAGCGACTGTTCACATCCCCCTTAAAACAGCGGTCCCTGGTACGGACTTCTGCGACAGACAATGAACTTCAGCCTCATCAGCTGTTTGAATCAGTTAGCACAACTGAATTCAATCTATGTAGAATTTCCCTTCATATGGCGATTTCAGTGATGTTATTGGCCTAAGGCGTTTTGGAGCAGCCAAAACCATGTTTTGGAGCAGCGAAAGTGGCCCAATTCTCCTTAGTCACTCAGTCGACCCGCCCCAATCTCAGTTCCCGTCTTCTTTCTCCTTCACTTTCTTATCGTAGCACTCTCCCCCTCCCACTAAAAAAAGAAACAAAAGTGGTAATCTCTTTTAAAAATACAGTTAATGTGATCTTGATCGTAGTCCGTCTGCAAAAGATGTTCTCATTCTTTACGGAACTTAACTTGGCGCGCTCGTGGGATGTATAGCTTGAGATGTGATACATGCTCAGGAAAGCAGCGGTGTGTGCTGGGAGGTCGTCCATCAGTGAGGTCCTCGAAGTAGGTGGCACGCCCAACCCGTTCCAAGACTCAATAAGGCCCCCGGCCTTATCGAACCCAAGGTCTGTCTCTCGGCAGACCTTGCGGTCTACCAAGAGACAGATTGCAAGGTCCGTTTCGCCAGAACTTTATCTCCAGTTTGAAACTCGTGCACATTATGGATACCGGCCTCTGACATATTGCCAGTCTCTTCCTGACTTCGCCGAATGGCGTCCCGTGCCTGTCTATGAATTTCATCAAGAGAAGCATGTTGAGTGTCCCTGCAATATTGTGTCCCGTTCACCCCAAGCCTTGTCTCAACAGGCAGCGTCACGTCATGACCATATAAGAATCTGAACGGTACTTCCTTCGTGGTTTCTTCCTGTGATGTGTTCAGTGCGAACATGGCGTGTGGGACAAAATTATCCCAATTAATATGCGTGGGGTTTACATAGGCAGACAAGATATCTGTAAGTGTACAGTTGTTCCTCTCAACTAGATTGTTCGTTTGAGGATGGTACACGGATGTCGGAGAAGGTCGTATGCCATGTCTCGCCAGACAGTTTCTAAAAAGGTGAGACATGAACGGTGTGCCATGGTCTGAAATTATTGCGCGTGGCGGGCCATGTCTGAGAACAATGTAGACATCAATAAACTCTTCTAGGAAATCTGCAGTAGCATTTGGCACCGCTAGGGCCTCTACCCATTTGGTTAAGTAGGCAACTGCGACTATGACATAACGATTTCTGCTCCGAGACTTCGGAAAAGGTCTGAGAAAGTCAATTCCAATTAGCTCAAACTTAGTAGTAGATGTCTCCCGGAACTGGCAGTGCTCGCATGTCTGAACGTCTTGAACGACGTCACTCCTCAGTCACTCAGTCCAGCCTTCCCATTCTCAGTTCCCGTCATCGTCTTTCTCTTACACTTTCTTATCGTAGCAATATATATGTACCCGCTACAGGTAAATAAGAAACAAACTCCACATATTAAAATCCGAAAATGACCAGCTTAGTAGTAAATATAACAGCATTAGCTTGACTAGTAATATAATAAATAGAAGCAGACTCGGACTGATCAAATACGTAACTACTGCCGTACAATGCAAAATTCTCATGCGAGCGGAGATGGCTGTTCGATCTAAACCATGCCACTCCACTCCGTCGCCAACATGGTTCCCAAAATTGTATGCAAAATGTAACTGTCCAGCATACGACAAAAAACAGTCCAGCGGCACGTGCTTGCAAGGCCGGCAGGCGAGGTATACAAGCTAAACGCATGAAAAAACAACCTCAGCGCATCGATGCAAGACACCGTGAGCCAGGGTCGAAAAGTCCTTGGGGCGCTGAACTGAAATCGGGACAAACAAGCGCGCTGTGCTGGTTCAGCGTGCAGACATTGCCTTCTTTGCTTTAGCTCACTTCAATAACTTTCTTTCGCGGCAGATTTTTCACGTACCGGGATCCGTCTTGAAAGAAAGCCTACCGAGAGAAACCTAGGTAATCAATACTTTGACACAGCAGTCTTTGAGCTAGAGAGATTTCCGTACTACCGTATTAAACTTGAACAGGAATGTTGATGAACATGCGGCAGTCCTTACGTTTCAGTTTAGAAAGCAGCATACAGTAAAACCTCGTTATAACAAAGTTGAAGGAGCGGTCGTAATTATTTCGTTATAACCATTAGTTTGTTATAGCCAATGTCCATTTCTTCCCACTATTAGCAAGCAAGGGGAATTATGATTGCTCTCTTATATCCATTAGTTTGTTATATCCCGTTTTGTTATAACGAGGTTTTACTGTATTTGCAGCGACGTGGGGACGGCAACACCCGACGTTGCGCGACGACGGTGACTGACAAGCAGGGACCACATATGCTTTGGCCACGGCCGTTGCTTTTAGAAGCGAGTGCTTCAGCCCATAAACTTAACTCCTACCGCGCAAAAACATGGTTTCGTTTAACAGCATGACGGCATGGCTGGTCCCCAGCACGCTAGCGTCGGAGAGTCCACACACGCCCATGTCTATCATTAAAAAAATTAAAAAAAAAAAAAAACGCAAGACAAGAGGTGGCGGGAAAAGCCATGCAAGGGAACTGGATGAGCGATTGATGGATGGTACTTTGAGTCGGGCAGCTGCTTGCACCACCTAGCTCATGTGTGCTCAAGTTTAGTTTTGTTTTTCAAAGGCGACCAAAATTGGTCCTTTGGCGCAGGCTTGGCAAAATTTAGCAGGGTTAGCCTTTTGGCGTAATTGGCACGCAATCACATCACTGCGATTTGCATGAATACCCCTTCTCAAAAAGAAGTGAGACGTTGATGAAAATATTTGACATCAGAAGTTCCTGTCTTCTCTACAAATTTATGCATGTGAGAGATGTACCCTGTTCACCGGGTTTGAGCAGAAACAAGTGGAATTTGTGTAGCTTATCATTGTAGTTTGGTCTTTAAGTTTTGAGCCGGTAATGTATTGCCCAACTAGGTTTTAATATACTGAGCACTGAAGCAACAGCATGAGTTACTATTCTTTGTAAGTAGTATGTGTGGTCTCACTTTGCCCATTCAGGTAACAACGAAGAGCCCAGACGCCGAGCAAGCAGCTGACCACGACTACTGCACGAAGGAGCCATCTAAAGCTGCAGTTTCGCTAACGATGTCAGACGCTGACATTCAGTTTTACACTGGCATTTCAAGGGATGCATTTTTGTCTCTAGTCGAAATGGTATCCTTAATGACAACAGCCAACTCACGAATCCCTCTTGAGGATCAACTACTCCTCTCTCTAATGCGGCTACGTCTGGGCCTCCTTTATGGTGATCTCGCCAGGCGATTTTCCATATCTGTTACTCGCATTTGTGCTATCTTCGATAAGATACTTGGAATCTTAAAGAAGATTATGACGTATATCGTGGTCTGGCTGCCACGTGTACGCATTCAGAGCACCATGCCAGCATCTTTTGTAGAGAATGGCTATGGCAGGACAACGTGTATCTTCGATTGCGCAGAGCTCACCTTGCAGAGGCCACGGAAGTTAATGGCCCGTGCGCAAACGTACAGTGCATATAAGGCTGCAAACACTTTAAAGTTTCTTACTGTGATTGCACCTAATGGGCATCTCATGTATGTTTCTGATGTTTACGGAGGGAGAGCCTCTGATAAGCACATCGTTCGGACCTGCGGTGTTGAGGACTTCCTACAGAGAGGAGACGAAATCATGGCTGATCGAGGCTTTGCACTCGAAGCTCACTTGGAGGCCAGGGGGATCAAGTTGAATGTGCCTGCATTCACGAGGGGTATGGTAAATTGGCTGTTTCGAAAAAGCTACTCTTATGTTGTGAAATGCTTTGGATACTACATGACAACTAATTTCAATCTAAATTTGGATATGTTAAATTTCAACACTAACTTACCTCAATTTCAGGAGTGCTTGCATCATGTTCTGAAATAGCATTTATGCTTCATAACTGTTCAATTCCTGCTTATATGTGAATTGATGTAACATTTCTTGTTTGTATTTATATGTATTCTGTGTTGTAGCTTACAAGTGCACCAATACGTCGGCTCCAGCCGTTATTGGGCATTTAAAATAGACAAGTACAAATAAGCTGATAAATCATACAAATGTGTGGCATGGACCAGTTAAACTTTTAAATTAAATTTTGCTGTTATAACCATGTGTAATGGTGTATAATATTTGTAAGGAATTAGCAACAATAACCTTTATGCAGCCAAGATATTTTTGGAAAACAGTGCATCCTCGAATATTTCACCATTAACCCCATTTTTTTACCATGTGCAGTCTTGCTGTTCTACGAGTGGATACTTCCAAGAGTGTAATTGAAAATGGTGCATAAGCATTGCATGAGAATGCTTTGTAGAAAGCATGCCACAATTTCCTTGCATGATCAACAGATGCTCGGTTTAATGAGTAGCTACACAGGTAAAGCACTTATTCCTGCAGACATCTGAAGACATTCAAACCTCCTATAAATGGCCTTTGGGCATCCGAGGAACATATCTGTTGGGATTAAAGTGTTGCCTGTATGCAAGCAGCAAGAATGACAGGAAAGCTCATTGGCATAAAACTATGCCAACATATTTAGTTATATTTAAGTCGGCACAGGTTTTTTATCCCCCTTCCAGTTTTCTGTGGTACTCGTTGGATATACAAAATTGGTGGTGGGTTCTGCTCAGTTGGTGGTTTTCTCATTTGGTATACCTCGCTTGTATGAGAAGAGTGGGAAGAGATGCAGTGGCACACTCCTACCAGACTTTGTAACTATCAATATTTACTTTTTTCTTTCAGGAAAGCCCCAACTGTCGGAGACTGAGGTGACTAAGACTCGACGTATTGCGTCTGTGCGGATCCACGTGGAAAGGGCCATTAACCGCATCAAAACGTATCGTATTTTTAAGTCTGCTTTGCCCATAGCATCTCGCAAAACTATTAACGACATGGTTTTTGTGTGTGCTGGTCTGTGTAACTTGAAAGCACCACTTATCGCACACCAAAATGATGCGGTCTAACACAGTGCCAGCTAACATGAGAAGCTGATTCAATAAGTTCAAAGTCAAATGCAGAACTTCCTGAGCACCACCTCATGTAGCATGGAGTAGGACGGCTTCTTGTCGACTATCATCGTTACCGCTTCTGCCAAGCAGCATTACTGTCTCATTGCAGTGCCATACTAAAGAAGCAGGTGTGGTGTTTCCTTGAAGACAATTTGTGAGATGGGTCTGACATTTTCCACTGGTTCCCTTTTATCATCAAGACTGACGTTTGGTTTTCGGGGAACATCAACTTTGTTTCTGAAACCAACTTGTTTGCTGCTTTCTTTGAATGACCCAAGCGTCCATTGTTTTTGCAGAGTTGCCTCCTCCTTGTCTGTCACTCCGATTGACTCCAGTCTCCAGATTCGTTCCAAGCAGTTCATAGTTTCAGATTCCACCACCAATGTTCTCAGGGCTGTCGTCTGCATGCAATGTGCGTCATGAAGCATTGCCCCTCCCAAGGTCTGGGATAATCCGTTCCAAGGTGTTCTCGTCCGCTCCGAGCTTTTCCTCGAATGGTTTGAATTTTCCTGTCACAAGGTTCCAGTGATGCTCCAAGCCGATAAGAAGCTGAACGTTGCTTCGTTGCTTGTTGCAAGCGTAATAATCCACGCTAAGTTCATCGCCCGAGTCAAGGTCAGGGGCAACATTCTAAATTGAGGACGTAGACCGCACAGGCTGGCCCAGTCAGGCGTCGTCTTTGTCGTCTTTTTATTTACTATGGTGGCGCCCTTTTGTGTACAGCGCCAGCGTCGGAAGGAATTGGATACTTCCTCTTGCTGATGGCTGACACGCTGACACCGGTATCCAACTCGCATGCGTTGACGGCAACTTCGACACGCATTGGCTCTGGTCTGGTCGCTTGAAGCACCCAAAGGTCGTACGCTGCCAGCTCGTCATCCGCATTGTGGACAGGTCTCGATCCACTCCTCTGTCTTGCTTTTCCGTTTGAGATGTATTTGATCTGCACAGTTGTGCTAAATGCCCTCTCTGCTCACACTTGAAAGAGATGCTGCCCACGTGACGACACTGGTGTGCTAGATGATTACCCCCGCAGCGGAAGCAAGAACCACTTGCCTGCTGTCTGGTCGGCTTAGTCTCTACAACATTTGCACACTCCCAGGCCTGCACAGGCGTCGCTTCAGCCAGCCGAGCACATAATTTCACATCGTTTCGGTAGCATCCGCTACCGAAACGATGTGAATTTGCAGTCGTCGGCAAGCTTCTTAAGCGATGCGATGTAATCGTTGGCCGGCTCTTCGTCCCGCCGATATCGAGAAAAAATAACTTGAAGCTCGCCACCACCTACGATACCTTCGGCGAGTAGTGCTTGTTCAAAGCTTCGAACATCACAGCCAATGTTGTATCGGCAGGCTTCGTAGGGGTGAGCAGGCTCTGCAGCAGCGAGTAAGTTTCTGACCCGCAGCACGTCGGAAACACGGCAGTCCTCATCGTTGCCGCGATGTCGTTCGCGGCAAAGTATAATTCCACGTGTTTGTGATACTCGGTCCAGTCCGACGTAGCAGAGTTGAACGGTTCCACCTTCCCAATGGCAGGCATGGCTGCTGGAGTTGATGCAGGACAAACAGATAAGACGTGCGCGTCCATTATGTATCGCTCGTTGCCAGTTGTGATAATCCATGCCAGGCACATCGCCTGAGTCATTGTCAGGGACAATGTTCCAAATTGAAGACATAGACCGCACTGACTGGCTTAGTCAGGCATAATCTTTGTTGTCTTTTTATTTACCACCGCGGTTGTGCCCTTCTGTGCACAGTGCCAGATATCACCGAGTCATGTCGGCTAGCTTCATTTTACCAAGGAATTTCTTGAAGCAAGGATCGGGATCTTCTGATCGGAGATCAGGTCCGTTTCCAGTACTTTGAGGTGGTGCAGAGCGCGACGCTGTTAGCGCGAACAAGCTTTCGCCGGTTTTTCCAGTTTTTCTCTTTGAAACCAAGAGATGTCGTCCAAGTTATGGTTGCTACGGAAAGAGCTAATTTAGTTCTATAATGTAAGCGATAAAATTTCGTGATCGCAAACACTGTTTAGAAGTAAAATGCAAAAATGCACCGATGTTGTTTCCGCGCTAACAGTGTCGCGATGTGTACATATCATAGTTTTGGGCCGTTAGGAGCACCAGTACCCTGTTAAGCACTCATTCTGATTGGTGTCCACTAAACAATCTGACAATCAGTCTCTCCTGTCCCAATATTTGCAACTTGAGTTTTTCGGACTCATTCTTTGTAAGAAATGATTGCTGTCTCCCTCTGTCAAAGATAACGCGGACAAATGTTGCATGGGCTTCTCCAGCACACCAGGTTGTTCCAGCCTGAAGCTTAATGACTGTCCTGGAAGCTTATCTGCTGTGAAATCACTGCAGCGTGCCCTTCAAAGGGACACTGAACTTGTGAAAAACATAATTTGTTTACTGACTGGACGGGACAGGTACGGCACAAAATGAATTATTGTTGAAAAGGATTGTTTTTGTCTTTTTTTACTACATTTGAGATGCAAACATATTTTGAGTTTTAGGAGTGGAACCGATATTTACTTATTTCCACCTTTGCACCGATGTAATTCCCAAGTGTGCCATAGCATCTCATTGGTGTACATATGTTGTTTTCAGTCCTGTACCATTATTTTTATCCACTTGTTCTAGAGCAAATAAATTATGTTTCTGGGAAAAATAAATATTTATTTGGACTGTTGTCTTTAAATATGTCACATAACTAGGAGAACTGTCAGTTGTGAATGAATGGAAGAGGAAGCACAGTCTCGGACACCCCAACATTTTTCGTGATGCAGTTATAGACCTTGTGCTGAAGGCATTATTGGAAGTCGCCTAATGAGGCTTGGTACTCGTTCCCCGTCTGTGTGCATGGCTTTTATTGACTGAGCTGTCTGGCATGGCTGCCACTGCAGACACCCTGAGATTCGTGTACGGTCTGGTACCGTGCAATAGACTGAGCATGACCATGCACAACTGATTAGAAATGTGGTGCAGATGGACAAGAGAAGTACAAGCCACACTTTTATATGAAAGTTTTTGTCTCTCCTGTGTATTACTTGTAAAAACATGAATGTCATGTATGGATAAAGAACACTTCTTTCCTAGGAATTGCCTATAACATACTGTTTCCCTAGTAGTTCCTTTCTAGGGCATGCCCAAAACTGGTTTTTCATATTGCTGGCTACTCAACTACGCAACAGCAAGGTCACACAAAGCAATTGATTTATTTTCACAAGCCATCACTTGATGATGTGGGTTGCAGAAACGAAAGGGGTACATACTTTTAAGGCATAGAAACTTGCATGCTTACAGCACCACAAGGTGTACAATATAAATGAACACATAGTATAGAACTTAAATTGGCCAAACCGAAATTCAAGAGCAAATTGGGGGCAAATAAGGGGTGGGCTAACCTTCTATGTGCGACCGGAAAAAGAAAAACATTGTCGAAGCAAGGCCAGTTACAGACTTCTAAACAAGTTTTTATTTGTGGTCGGGTTGGTGAACCTACCTATTTCTGACCTTCATGATGCTATGTTCACTCAATGGGTTGTGAAACCTCTTATTGCAGCAAAGACCAACTTAACCACCAATAACTAGTTTCCAGTAAACATTACTCCCTACCTCTCCCCGCAGCTTACCCCATTCCTGTGCAGGTCACCATACTGAACAGTGCAATTTCTAGACAAGGGGTAGGGCATCTCTCGGAATAATACGGCATTCAACAAAAAACACAGTGTTACAAGTAAAGTCAACTTTTAGGCAGCGAGAAATTAATTGGACCCAACAAAAAAAAAAGAACTTGCACATACATACTTAATACTTTGCGTGAAGCAGCTCTCGCAGATTTGGTTGCCAAATGAGAAAGATGCTATTCGAGTTCATAAGTCAATTTTTTCATTCACCACAAACTGGGGCAAACATGCATAGTATGCGGACTATAGTACCGAAAATATGGTAGTACACATTGGGATGCATATATGCTGTTACATTACATTTGTGTCAACCGCCTGTAGTCTGAGGACAGTTGGTGCGAACCATTCCTGTACTTCTCTTCAAGGTATGGCAACATTGAAGAAAAAAAAAACTTCGTCAGGCGAGCCATGTTCTGCATGATGAACATCTCATTGAAATTCACTGTGAATGATGCTACAGAGCAGGGTGACCATACGTAAAAAAAAACAGAGTGTCTTCTTAGCACATAGCATCGTGAACTGCACTTGACTGTAAAACCCCTTGTCGTGCTCGGGGTCCAAGAAAAAATTGTCGCCTTGACCTTTCACTTCGTAGCCTCCTCGTGCTATCAGCGCTTTGCAATCGTTTGTGTCGGGACACTTAATTTCTAAAATGGCATTACAAGACTCAATAATACCGTCGGGAGTAGCAGAGAGAAAAGGCAGCTCTGCACAGACAACTGTTCCACATAGAGAAACACTTAATCCGGTCTCTCTCACAAACTGCGCACGTGCGACTGGCTCGAAATGCTGGCCACGCCTGGTTGCAGCGTTCCCCCGAAATGTACTGCTTGTAAGCGACAGTACTGCCCTCTCATGGGGAGTATGTGGCATTTTTGGCACTGTTCTAATGTTAGATGCTGTGACACGTAACCTCCTTGACTCGTGCCACAAGGCATTTGTCGTGCCTCTTGTTTGGCTTTCGAGCTGTACCACCGCAGCACTACTCAATACCACAAAGTCTGTGTAAAAAACATTACAGCGTGGGCAGCTCTCTGGCAGGCCGTCTACATCGGTGTGGCCCTGGTGGCTTGGCAGCGGGTCGGGTGCAGAGGGGCAGGCTGGCACCTGGACAGGAGCAGTGAGGGTTTCATAGAACAGCGTTCCTGCAATGATGGGGAAAGAAACACACATTGGAGGCTTCACCTGAGACAGCTGCGAGCATTCACATGTTAATCTTCTGGATGCAGTGCACAGGGGCCTGAATGCTCCACTCCATGTTCATGTTTTTCCATGTGTCGGGCAGGTTACTGAACAAGTATGACGGAGCGGATGTGTGGCGTTAACATAGCCAGTAAAGTCTGGCATTACATACTTATCCACAAGTGGGACTGAGTGCACACGCCACATTCAGAATCGCTGTATTAACAGGTGGAAGCGATTTCTTATTCAAAGACCACTTGTAAATTTTTGCCTGAATATTTCGTGACTAGGCCTGTTTAAAACCTTTGAATCTCAAATATCATAACAAAGCACTGCATCCAGTTTATTGGACCTGGTGTCGTTGCTCTATGAATATATACAACATATTTGCATCCTTTCTTGGGAGTATAGAGTTTTTTTTTAAATTTGAAATACTGTAATTCGTGTAAAAAAAAGAACATGTCCCTCAAAAACCACAGCAAAAGAAAGTTCAGCTCCTTGTGGAGTTCCATTACTAATTTACCCCATTATGCAGTGAATTTTAATACTTAGATCACATACTTGTTATTGAAATCAGAACAA